TCTCTCTCTCTCTCTCTCTCTCTCTCTCTCGAATTGGCAATATTTGAGAAAAGGGTTTAGCGATTTCTAATTATTTGGGGGACGAGCCCCCCTCAATGTCTACGGTGGTTATCGTCCTGATCAGACATGAAAATATGTTGTGGCACTATTGGGCAGTCTATAATGATATGACGTTAGTTAGCAAATATTAGCGATTTTTTGCAAACATTTCTTTGAGTAACATGACCGTAAATATGAACTCACGATTAAATGTTACATTTAAAACAAATTATTACTTTTCGTTAAAATCTTTATTAATGCCAAAAATGCTTACATTTATTTGTCTTTTTGTTCGCTCGGGCAGCCATGTTGCCACTGAGATAATTCATACCCCTTCGTTTGAAGTGTGGTCCCGAAAAATCTTCGTTTGAAGGGCTGTCTGGCTTTCATTATGTTTTATGTATCTTTTGTCATGCTTCAAAGAAGTAAACTTATTTTTGACTAACATGCTAAAGCACATGTAAAGCACTTGATTATAATTGTAACTGTAGAGTGTTATTTGATATTACAGTTGAAGTTATTACATTGTAAATGTAATGAATTTCAATATTACAAATATGTAATAACATATTTTAATGCATGACAAGTTTCAATAGAAATTGTATTAAAGCATATTTTAGTTTATCATAAATACTTGTTGTTATATTTAACAGTACACTTTGGCAGACAATGTAAGTAATTATACAATTACATACACTGATGTACTTAAGTCTGTAAGTGGGTAAAAAAAAGCACTCTAAATTTCAGCTAATTGCATTCAATATAAATATAAATGGTAATTAATTTCCATTTAATTGCAAATTACATGCAATGAATTGTCCAAAAATTACATTCAGTTCACCCAAGTATATTCTTTTAAAGCTTAGTATTTCCGTAATAAGTTTTTTTTTTTAAGTATGCAAAAGTGTACTTCTTTATAACAAGGGTTCACTTGAGTGAATTTGGGTAATTTATTGTTCTCTTAGGCCATGTTAGAAAAAGTTATGGACCAAACCTACCTTAGCAACTTTTCCGTCCACCACGACACGTTTTCTCTGTTCTAATGCACACAATGGGAAAATCATATCATATATGATTAATCACATAATGATTAATCAGTTTTACCTAATATATACGAGTGACATCTATCGCACAGTTAGCTTAATGGCAAACTCTGTTGGAATCAGTCGTGAGTAAATGCTTGAGAGGTCTGGTTTCAGTGAGGATGCTGCCTATACAGTCAAGCAGTTCAATTTAGGTTTTAGAACAGAGCTAATGTCTTCATATTAAAGAAGTGCTGTTGAAAACAATGCTCAAAAGCATTACGATGGCTTGCCTTAGGTCCGATTTGAAGTGTTGGGTTTCGCTCTGGCCAACAGCTGCTGTGTTGAGGCTGGAAAACACAACATAGCCTCCCTGTGTGCATATAACACTGCTCTGGAAACCTACAGAGAAAAACAACAAGAGCAGCCCACGTCTACACACACAGATAAACAGTATAGGTTTTTCCAAATGGCGATGTCATTTAACAGCAGCGGGTTAGTGTTCGCATCAGCACACGGTTGGAGAGGGCCGTGTGTTTGTGTTGGGGTGGGTGGGGTACGGATGGGGCTCTGGTGACTGCAGTATTTTGGGGGAGTTCCATGCAGCAGATGTGTGAAAGTAGGGCAGACGTAGAGGACAGCGCTTGTGTAAGAGGCGGAGGTCTGATCTCAGCACATGTTTGCAGTTTGAGAGCACACACGTGCAGATGCACTGTATGTTTGAGCATAAACATCTCTAAAAGCCGGCACAAAGTCACTCCTATTGAAAAAAACTAAGCTGCATTAGTAAACTGTTGCAGTGAAAAATATCTTGGATTGATTAAGTGACGTAATTTCATAAAGTCTGATTATAGAGCACTACATATTATTAGTTTTTTTTTAAGGCATTGGTTCTGGAATTAGCCAATATATTCCTTTCATTTACTTCACAGAGGTTGTGGGGGAAAAAAAGTGAAGAGTTCGTGAATCAAATCAATTAGATCCTAGAATCTGAAAAAATAAATAAAAATGACAAGACTGTGTTGAAGAAGAAATCAAATCCTTAACGGTAAGATGTTGAGTTTATGAATTTATTAGGTTGTTTTAAATATTAAGCATTCAGCATATAAAACATATAACTACTACAATATGTTACTTATATGATCTATTCTCATCGCTGAAACAGCGTCTGCCACTTGTTCCCATGCGCACACCTTCTACTTTCCATCCTGATATAATCAGCCTCCCAAGGAGAATTTTCTTCCCTGCAATAATAATTTCCTCAATGAGAACCTGCAGCTTTTGCCTATTGGAAGTTTTTTTTTTCTTTCTCTCCATTAACCAAATGCTTTCCAGTTTCCAATGTTGTTGCAACACATGTTGCAGCCTTTACATGCGAATGATTGTGAGGATTGATACTTAAAGGTTTAAAAATGATTTGGATTTAGATTTGGCTGTATTGAATTTGTTGTATTACACTACTGTCATTTTATTCTTCTTTTTTTTTTTCCAAATAATGTTTTTTAAGAATTGTACTTCAATTCTTTCAAGCTTTTTGCAGTAGATTTTGTCTCTTACTTTCTTCTTTCTTAAGAGTTTTTTTTACTGAATCCGCCCCTGATGACTTTTTCTTTCTGCACTGATGGGAGTGTTTTATAGCAGTATTAATTCTTGAGTTGAGCAGCTCTCGCTGCTGTCTGTAGAGGAAGAAGATGCTGTCATAGCAGAATTACAGCCCCATGTGTCTCCTCTTCTTCTGCTGAACCCACACATTTTACACACAGTCATTTTTTCTAATACAGACACACAGCCATGGAAGTGAGTTTGTTATGAATGGGGTGGATTTACTTTTAAGGGGTCAGACAAACACATATTCTTAAACTTCATTGCATTGCATTTGAAGCACACTTTACTTCCTAAAGGTTGTATCTGTGAGATTTACATTGCTATAAATTATTTCTTAATCCGTTGTAATTTTTCTAGCTGTGGAAGTTACAGGACTTTAACTAACTTCACTCTCTTTGTGTGTCTTTACACAGAATTCAATGAACTTGCCTCCAGACAAAGCAAGATTACTACGGCAGTATGACAACGAGAAGAAATGGGAACTCATTTGTGACCAGGTAACACATGGTCTCCTTCTCTTACCTCCGAAATTCTCACAGTCTTTCATCTAGAGTAAAGTGCAGCTAGCAGCTAAAGAACTGAAGGTTATGTAATCCCAGAGTGACTGAAAGGTTGCAGGTTTGGAACCGGCATGGGTTGATCTATGGACTAGATACATAACCTCAAGATACTACAGGGGTATTGTCACCTGTAGTTCACCCCAAAATAAAAATGTTGTCATCATTTACTCACCCACATATCATTCCAAGTGTTATTTTGGACCCCTCTGACTTTCATTGGATTGACAAAACATCTTTCAAAATGCTGTGTTTTGTGTTCTGCAGAAGAAATAAAGTCAAACGACATGAGGTTGAGTAAATGATTACAGAACTTTCATTTATGGCTAAACTTTAACATGGTGCCACATGTTGTGCCCCACAGAAATAAATTCCTCCGATCCCAGTCATGTATTTTCGATTTCACCACACATTTCAGTGAGACAAGTGTAAGCAATCTGTACTACATTGAGTCACTGTTTGTTCATCAGGTGACCTTGTGTCCCTGCAGACATTACATATAGTCTCAATCTTGTTCTCATGAAGACAACACAACTCGTCTGTTTTGTGTTTTCTATTCATCTTCCACTGTTTGTCCCATCCAACCAGTCATACTGACAGAAATGGTGAACTGTACTGGCCATCATGTGACCACCCCTGATAAATATTTTGTATGTTGAGATCACATGACCTGGCCCTACTACTACTACTAAAAACAGTAACAATAATAATAGGTTGGCTTTATATAGCATTTTTTTTTAACTTATATATTTTTTCTAGTGTAGAAAATGCTTGCGGTTTTTTATACTAATGTTAAAAATGCTATACTGTCTCATATTTCATACAATGCACCCCAGACGCACACACATGCACACACACACACAGGCCACATGTTAATGTCAATGTGATATCAGTGGCTGGTGTGTTGTGTGTGTGCAGGGGCCTTGTGTTGTTTTGAAGGGAACTAGGTCTCTTCCTCTTTCCTGTTATGTGCTGTTGTTGATTGGCTGTTGCCAAGGGAAACATCCAAATGTGTGACAGAATGGAATACATATTTGATATGGAATATACTAAAACTATTAGTATGCATAGTTATTATTCTTAAACTATTAATAATTAGTCATATAAGATTAACAGATGACATAGCATATGTAAAAGGTAACTTTAGCGTGTAATTCTAAAGAAAATGTAAGGTATTACTTGTCACTGCAGTTATCAAGACAATTTTGGTTAAGTTACTACAACTAAATCAATTAACACAGAGATTTCAGTTTAAATTACATACAATATTGAGTTGTTTTAATGGTCAACTTGATTATATTAGCAGAACTCATCAAAACAAAATAATGCTTGCAACTTTCAATATTTAATAAAATCAGTAATTTATTTATTTTAATCTTGCAGCCATGCATTAAGTGGTGGTAATAGGTCCTCTGAATTAATTTTTATATGGTGAACAGACCGTCTGATCACACAGAGACTGATATTGTTCAAGGAATCAGTGTGATTTGTTAAACTCATTGTTTGTGGAGTTGTATTCAGAACGTTTTCAGTCTGAAGAGGTTTTTAATTGTCTCAAATAATACTGCAGTACTTTGTTCACTGCAAAATTAGCAATTGAACTCATATATGAAGTGAACATTGCAGAGTCGCACATGGTACTCAACACTCCAGTGAAGATGATAATATGATAAACATCACTCCTATGAGAGTAAGAACTTATTTTAATCATGTCACAATGCATGCTGGGAGCTCACAAACTCTTAATAAGCATAAACATAAAATTGTTCAGCAAACGTTGTTAATCTCATTGGGACAACATTATGGGAATATTGAATGTAATTCACATTTATTGGTATCTATGACTCAAAAAGACCCACAAATGGGATCATCCCACTCCATATACTCCATATCCCTCACACACCCACAACGAATGCAAATATTTACTGACTTTCATACTCTAAAATCAGTAAAATTATGAACACATCTCCATATCTCTCTTTTCCAGGAGCGATTCCAGGTGAAGAATCCTCCTCACACATACATCCACAAGGTGCAGAGTTATCTCGACCCAGCCGTGACCAGGAAGGTGAGTTCTGGTCTTATTCCCTCAAATCCAGTGTGGAGCGTGTGTGTATGTGTTCAGGCTGGGATGGATGACCTCAGATGGGAAATAGCTCCTGATAACTCATTTATCTTGACTAGAGTGCTGTCCTTATAGCTACACTGTGACAGCTGGGTATGGACAGGAACAGCTTGCATTCTACTTCCTGCTGGGGAAACCTTACTTCCTGCTTGGACACACTTGATTCCTGTGATAGAGATGTTACATCCTTCTTCACAGCTGGTTTTTGATGTAGGGAAAGTGTCTTTAATGTAGCTTGCGCTCACTGTTGTACATGGAAGCAGTTCCAGGTGGATGACGTATGAGTTCAGCGTTGCGCATGCGCTGATGAGTCTCGTGAAAACCAGCGTTTGTTAACAGGAGCAAAGGTAACAAAGTTTCCTTACTTTAGCAAAGGAAAACCAGTCTCCTCTTGGCTTATATCGAAATCCTCCGACATTCTTCTTTACAAATCCTCGTTTTGTACTTCTAATTAGTGACCGTTGTTTTGTTTTGATCTCTCCCCTGCGCTTCCGCGTTCAATTCTGAGCGGCGCATGCGCAACGCCGACGTCCTATGTCATCCTCCCAGAGCTACTTCCATGTACAACAGTGAGCGCAAGCTACAAAAACGCATCGATTCGCTACAGAAGGCCTTTGTTCAGTGGCATTAAACAGCTTGAAAGATCAAAGACCATTTTTAATATAACTCCGACAGGTTTCGTCTGAAAGAAGAAAGTCATATACACCTAGGATGACTTGAGGGTGAGTAATTTATGGGCTAATTTTCATTTTTGGGTGAACTAACCCTTTAATACTTCCTCCATAATAACTGTTTATTAAAGCTGAGCCGTTCTGAACCTTTACAATGTTCTGATGTCAAGCATGTGGATACACATTATTAATGAAACAGACCAGCAGATGAACCCAGAATATGAATGTGACGGGCAGGGTGTTCAAGAGAGCAGGCAGGACGACGAAGATGACGAAACCAATAACATTTAATAAATTGACAACAGGAAATCCAGACAGGGTAGACATCAACATTCACAATAACCGACAAACTAGAATACAAGAGACAGGAACTGATATAGGGCAGATAACGAGGGGCAGACAGGTGAGCACAATGAGGTGATTAACTAATAATGAGAACAGGAACAACCAAAAAAGGACACAGAGGGAGAAACTACAATCAACAGTCCACAGGGGTGTGACAGATCGCCCCCCTCCCGGAAGGCGCGTCCTCGCGCCGTGGAGACAGAGGGAGGGACGGAGCGGGACTTAGGAGGAGGACAAAGGAGTGGATGTGGGATGGTTACAGGGGAAGGCAAAGGGCTGGCAGGCAGACATGACAGGTGGAGGCTCCGGCAGAGGACGGATATCTGGGAGGAGGCCGGCAGACAGAGACCAGGGGGGCGACGAAGGAGGGAGGAGCCAGGGAGGAGACAGGAGGGACCCGGAGCAGGAGGAGCTCAGCAGGACCCAGGCCACAGCCATAACAGCGGCCCACGGTGGAGCCGACGGTGGGAGGAGCCATGGAGGAGGGATAGCTGCCGACTCCAGGGGGCCGACCAACGGCGGTGGAGCAGGTGGAGGAGGAGCCCGAGGCGGAGACGGAGAGCCAACGAGCCAGGGGGATGCCGAGGATCCGGGGGGCCAGGGTGGAGCCGAGGCGACCGAGGCGGAGATCCAGAGATCCGCGGCGGAGCCGGAGCGACTAAGGACAAAGGTGGAGCTGGCGGGAGGAAGGAGCCCAACGGAGCCGGTGGGACAGGAATCAGTTGCCCTTCCTGGGCTGAACTGGGGATCAGGAGCTCCTTCTTCCTGGTTCTGGCCCTTATGTCCCGCCATAGTCAGCTCACCCTCAGCCATGATGCAGGGGGCGGAGCTCCTCTTCGTGCTCACACCGTCTATGGCTTGCTCCCTCGTGGTGGGCACTGTCACCAGCTCTCGCACCTGGTCTGACGGGTTGGGCTCAACATCCGAGGCGATCCTCCACTCAGTCGCTTGGCTTTGCTCTGGCTCGTTGATCGCGGCGGGAAATGGCTCTCCGTCCTCGGTGGGCTCAGGCTGATGCTCCGTACCGTGGGGGGGTGCCTCAGTCGCTTGGCTTCGCTCTGGCTCGCGGATCGCGGCGGGAAATGGCTCTCCGTCATCGGAGGGCTCAGGCTGATGCTCTGTACCGCGGGGAGATGGTGGGCTGGGCTCTGGGTCCGAATTGGATCCGGCGAGATCATCCACGGGGCCGATGGTGAGTGGCGACCCGTTTCTCGCCAGAGTCCACTCCACGAAGGCGTCAAATTCCTCCCGAGGACCATCTTCGGACGACCGCGCTCTGCACTCGCCGTTCAGACTTGCCTCATAGAAAGCGCAGAGTGCGTCGTCCGGATAGCTGGTGATGTTCGCGACCAACAGGAACAGTTTGGTATGGTCCTCGAGAGCTTTGTCTCCCTGCTCCAGCAGGAGAAGGAGGAATTCGGGGCGAGTGAAGGGATCCATGGGGCAAACACAACGGAAACAAAAAACTGAGTAAAAACCGGAAAACAAATGGAGGGGAAACACGCAATTTAAACTGTTTTTGAGGTCGGTTATTCTGTCACGGGCAGGGTGTTCAGGAGAGCAGGCAGGATGACGAAGATGACGAAACCAATAACATTTAATAAATTGACAACAGGAAATCCAGACAGGGTAGACATCAACATTCAGGGTAACATTCACAATAACCGACCAACTAGACTACAAGAGACAGGAACTGATATAGGGCAGATAATGAGGGGCAGAAAGGTGAGCACGCTCAGGCTGATGCTCTGTACCGCGGGGAGATGGTGGGCTGGGCTCTGGGTCCGAATTGGATCCGGCGAGATCATCCACGGGGCCGATGGTGAGTGGCGACCCGTTTCTCGCCAGAGTCCGCTCCACGAAGGCGGCAAATTCCTCCCGAGGACCATCTTCGGACGACCACGCTCTGCACTCGGCGTTCAGACTTGCCTCGTAGAAAGCGCAGAGTGCATCGTCCGGATAGCTGGTGATGTTAGCGACCAACAGGAACAGTCTGGTATGGTCCTCGAGAGTCTTGACTTCCTGCTCCAGCAGAAGAAGGACAGAGGGAGAAACTACAATCAACAGTCCACAGGGGTGTGACAATGAACACCAGTTCATGTTAAGTGTTTTCCCATAGAAAATCATTGTAAAGAAAAGGCTTTAAATGTGCAATTTAGTATCTTGTGCTTATCTGCATGGCTGCATATAGTATGCATCATCAATAAGGTTGAATTTGATTTTTTAATACCACTGTCTTAATACATTAGGGCATGTAAAGCATTTTTATTTAAGGCGTTTTAGAATGTCCCCCTGTTTTTAGTCATCAAATGTGAATGATTTAAAGGGGTCATATGATGCGATTTCAAGTTTTCCTTTCTCTTTGGAGTGTTACAAGTTGATTGTGCATAGATAAGATCCCTGAAGTTGCAAAGACTAAAGTCTCAAAACCAAAGAGATATTCTTTATCAACGTGCGCGTGCGTGTGTGTGAGAGAGAGAGAGAGACACAGGGTCACATCACAGTGAAGTCAGCTGTCTTAACCGTGACTTGTGTACTGCAAACACAATACCAGCTTCATCACTGTGTCTGTCACGCGACTCTGTTCCCCTTTCGGGCTTGAACTGATGGCA